TATAAAAAGCGAAACATTTTCACGTTAGATCTATTTTATCCCTATATTCGATTTGATTAGAAAGTTAGGAATACATAATATAACGTTTGTAAGGCTTCGAATGTTCTATATAAGCCTTGAGAATCAATCAAGTATAAAGCTTCTTTTGGAAACGCTTTCTTATCTTTACCGCATCGTACTTTTCTATATATACGTATATATATATAAAATGTATCACTATATAAACGGTATATGTATAAATCTACCATTGTATACTATATTGTATAGTAAACTAGTACTATAGTATATTAACATTGTAGTATACTAACACTGTAGTAACCTAGTACTGTAAGCTAGTATATTAATACGAACATTGTAGTATACTAGTACTGTAGTATGCTAATACTATAGTATACTAACATTGTAGCATGATAATACTATTATATACTATTACTATAGACCACTAACACTGTAGTATACCATACTGTAGTATACAAATACTATATATAGTACACATGCTGTAGTATACTATATATATATACTGTATACATTGTATACACTTTATATGCAGTGATACATTTATACTTCCCGAGGCAAAGTAAAATCCGTGACGTAACACGTAAGCCATATAATATTGAATGCGCGATGCATCTATAGTCAAAGAAGTATATATATATATATATTTTTCTTTTCCAGTTATATATCTTTATATATATATGCATATATATTATATATATAATATGTATATATATATATACCAAGAGAGAAGTCCAAAAAACAAGTGAATTACACGTGAGAATGAATATGACTCATCGAGAACGTAATCGGTATGCCATCTACTGAGGCACGCATATAGGATGTATCCATGCGTCATTATTCGTGCGTGACATGCAATGAATCGATAGTACATTGAACGATTAAATTTGTTTGAGAATCGAATTATCGAGAGCGAGAGAGCGAGAGAGCGAGAGAGCGAGAGCGAGAGCGAGAGAGAGAGAGAGAGAGAGAGAGAGAGAGAGAGAGAGAGAGAGAGAGAATAAGAGGAAAGCGAAATTCGTTTTCGCAAAAAAATTTTATGTTAATATACATATATAATTGATAGTCTCCTCTCGATATACTAGAACTTTCCATTTACCATCTATATATATATCTCATAAGGTATGTATTAATAAATTCCCGAAGCAATATTGTGAAGAGGAAGTTCGTAGTTACCCTTTGAAATACCCTATAATCGACTTATCGTAATTGAGTTAGATGAAAATTGACGAAGGAGGCCAGTACTACCAGGGAGTAAAATCAAATTCAAAGGATATTCACGCGAGAAACTCGAGGGAAAAAAAAAAGAAAAAGAAAGGGAGAAAGTAAAAAAAAAAAAAAAAAAATAAAAAGAATACTTTTATGTTGATCGAATTAACTTCCAACCGAAATCAATTTTTATTTTCCATTTATTCGAAAACGTTTCATCTTAATTGGAATCCTAATCGTCGTCCATCCTAAAAGGTTATATATCGAATCTTCAAATACATTCACTCGCACACAATTACAACAACCCACCCACCCACATGCACACATACACACACTGTATACAATTATATCACCTCTTTGACATTATTTTCAAAACCATTGGAAACGATGGAAAAAAAATTAAAGTTCATATACACCTACACGAATATGACGTTACTCCTTCGAACAACTGGACCATAACCGTCGTCGTCACCGTTCGGCTCTCTCTCTCATCTTTCGTATCATAAAGAATGCTGACAAGGTAACAATGAAAAAGAAACGAAGGACGACTTTTTGATGCGGCTTATATCGCCTCGACATGAATGACGTTGTTAATCGTTTTTAAGACTCGAACCCAGTTAAGTTCTCTTCGATGATTCTCAAATCTTCAAGAGTGAAAAATTTCCAAAAGCACGAACCATTTCTTTTCATCTTTCTCTCTCACATTCATTTTTCTTTCTCTTTTTCTCACTAATTTTTATTTTCTCTCTCTCTCTCTCTCTCTCTCGCTCTCTCTCCTCTCCAACTTGTTCATTTTTCTTTTTTTTTTCTTTCACTCATTTCCTGTCTCTCTTTCTTTCTATTTATCTGAATCTTTTCTTTTGTCACTATTCATCCGTTCCCAAATAATCTACCTGGAAGTTGATTTCTCTCAAAACTCGGACAATTTTGAATGATGAAAAGAGAAGAGGGTGAGTAAGAAGAAAAGACATATGAAAAAGAGAGATGATATGTATATGAGAGATAAAAGAGAGATTGTTTTACGCAGAAGCAGAAAGACGTCGGCTCCGCAAAGTTGCGTATTTCATCGGCGTATATACATTCAAAAGAAATAAGAAAAAGAAAAATGATTCTTAGTATTCGAAACGACGAAAGAAAGAAAATTCTCAAGTAACTTGAAATGCGTTCTTTCCTTTTTGATAAAAAACAATACCGGACGATTATTTTTCGCTGACGAATAATATAAGATTATTCTTTGCTAGATACAACGAAATGAGAAAATTAAAATGGTTGTTTTTTCTTTTACTTTCTCCTTCCCCCACCTCCCAAAGAATAAATCGTCGAATCGATACGGATATAACGAGACAACCAATGAAAATCAATCTCATTGATATTTCACTTTTCTTATGAAATAAATCTGTTGGACTCGAAGCAAATAAAAAACATTCAAATGATTTTTTTTTTTCAAAATGTCATTACACCCAATATTTTTTTCAAAGAACGAATCATGCATTGATACGAATAAGTGCGACCAATCCAAATCGATCTCTCGTTGACATTTTCTTTTTTCATCAAGCATCTCTGTCAGATTCGATGAAAATGAGAAAATTAGAAAGATTTTTTCAAAACGCCATTACACCCAACATTTTTTTCAAAGAACCATTCACTGCATCGATACGAATAACCTGTCGATTAATCAAAATCAATCTCGTTGACATTTCATTTTTTATAAAATAAAAAAAAAAAAAAAAAAAGAAAAAAGAAAAAAAAATCAGTCGGATTCGATGAAAATAATGAAATATTAAAACGATTTTTTAAAAGGGTCATTATATCTAACATCCTTTTTTGAATTAAAGAATCAATAACCGCATCGATACGGATATATAACGAGGCGATCAATGAAAATCATTCGATTTAAATTTCATTTAATCATAGGGCAAATCTGTCGGACTCGATGGTAATAATGAACATTAAAAAGATCTTTTTTTCTTTTTTAATGTCATTATACCTAACATTTTTTTTTAAAGAACCAATGACTATATCCAAACGGATATAACTTGGCGACCAATCAAAATCAATCTCGTTGAAGTTACATTTTTTTTTTTCTTTGAATAAAATTGTAAGAAAAATGTAAGGAAAGGAAAAGAATTGGTAAGAGACAGAGAAAGAGAGTAAGAGAAGTCGACGATCGTTACGAGGAAGGGGAGAGAGGGAGGCGGAGGAAGAGAGGAGGGGGTGCGGGTTCACTTGGAAAGTACTCCGAACATATTAAAGCACGGAGCACCGGCGCGTGCATCGATCGGAGGGAGAGAGAGAGAGGGGGGAGGGGGAGAGGAGAGAGCGGCTCCCGTTTGACGGCGGCCATAGTAAACTTCCTTTCTCATCGTGATGCGACATTTCTTCAGGAAATTTTGGCAAACCAAAAACATCAAATCGTACTATGACGAGGAAGAAGAACGAATCGATCGATGGTGGCCATCGTCGACGAATTTTACGAACCAATCAGCATTCTTCATTATAAATCTTTGCTTATATGTGAAGTAAGGGAGGCGTTGATTCGTCGTCGATAAGATTTAAAAAAAGAAAAAAAAAGAAAAAGAAAAAAGGAAAAGAAAAAAATTATTACACTTTTTGTAGTTTCACATATTGTAAATTTTCACGAAGATATAAAAATAATAAATGAAAGATGAAAGAAGTATTTCTTGCAATATATAGGAAGACCTCTTGCTCTTGTTTCTTGAATCGTTATTACTGGTATCTCATCAAAAATAACTACAGCCGCAAGACTTTCCAAGTGTAACACCATTGACCAAATATAGAAGGAAGTCTTTGATTAAATCGAAATGTAAAAAATATTTGTATTTCTGACGTATTATAGCATTGTATATTCCGCCTCACTTGTATACATATATGTACATATATGTATACGATGTGTATGTACATATATATGTATATATATATACACAAGTACAGTCTTGGTGGATACGTCGCGTGGAACGTCATTGCGGCTTTCTCTCATTCCCTCATTTTCTCGAAGTGACAAAAAATAATGTGTCTCTCATGACGATTGGTTATTTACGCATTCGTAAACTCACCTGAACGTGAGAGACCAAGAGGACGCCCAGCAAGAACGCGGGCAGCATCATCCCCTTCATCTTCCTGCCTGCCAGCCTCTACCTCGTTTTTCTTTCTCTTCTTCTTCTTCTCTTTCTCTTCTCTCTTTCTCTGACACTGGTACGTCGCTTTAGAATCTCCTCCCGTCTTTCACGACGAATGGATGGACGTGTGACGACCTTTGAAAGGAAATTGAAGAGACTGATTTTCTTTTCTTTTTCTTTCTCTCTCTCTTTTTCTATCTTTCTTTCTACCTGTCTATATCTCAGGTAAAAATATTCTAATCCCCGTTTCTCAAATATTCTCGTCCCCCACGTTCCGGAAAATAATAACGATATTACAAAAATCCGGCGCCGTATACGAAAGCGCACACGGCAATAGTGTTAATGCGCGACTGCTTGGCTAGCTACCTTGGTGCTGCTGCTGCTTTTGCCGTCGCCACGACCACCTCCACCACCACCAACACCGCCACCGCCGCCACCACCGCTGCCGCCGCCGTTGCCGTTGCTGCCGTTGTCGTTGGGTGGGTCGCTCGACTAGAAATCCAATATGGCGTCAGAGCGCGGCGCGGTGCCGCTGAACCGGCTCGGCCAATCAATGGCCACCGCTCGATGACCGCGCCGGTAGCCGCTTTTCACATGCGCCCCTTGACCAGTCGATAACGTGGCGGGAAAGCTGGTGATTTAAACGCTTTCCGAAGGAGCGCCAATTTTCCCGCTAAACCTTTCCTTCTTTATATATACACTTCGCGCATTTGTAATTTTTCGAATAATGTTTCTTTTTTTTTTTTTTTATATATATATATGTGTAGACATAAAAATTAAATGATTTTGTTAAGGATACAGAAAAAAAATCTTTGACAAGAGAGAAAAAATTAATATGTCAATGACCATACACTCAGATGTAATATCAATTGGGGTTAGAATTTCTATGGAGAAAAAAAATAATTTTTATGAGTTTCCACAATGGTAAAATTTTTTAATAACTTCTTAAGAATATTATTAATATTTTTGTTATCGAATTGATTTAATTAATAATAACAAGATGTGATTGTATAAATACAATTGTAATTCTATCAAATAGAAATTTTTATGATATAAGAACTTTTTAATGAATAAATTATTCCTTAATAAATTTGTCTTATACTGTTATCATATTTATATGTCATCGAAAATGTCAAATTGGTCAAATTAAATAACAAAAAGACAAAAATAACAACAAAAAAAAGAACAAATTTTCAACATAAATACATTCGTAAATCTAACAATCTACGAATGAAGAGTATGAGAAAAATGAAATGGAATGGGATTTAATGGGAAATTGACACGAGGCAATGAAAATAGAAATGGATTGTTCATTGTTTAGTTTATACGATCGATCTATTCTGAGAGGATTTCTCGTTATAATGAAGTTGTGCTTATATCGATAATATTCCCAATGACTAGAGTGGATTCCCGTTTGAACGTGAAGTCGTCTAGAACGAGAGGCGTCTGCCGGCGCGGTGCGGCGCGACGTAGAGAAACCCCGACCATTGGCAATCGATGACAAAGGGAGTTTCTCGTGAGGCGCAGTAAATTGATCTTCAGAAAGTGTACGTGGGAGAGTACAAAGTCGTGGGTACGCGTATAGGAGAAAAAGCGTATAAAAGAGAGAAAGAGTAGGGCCAGCCGGTTACACAGGCGGGAAAACGAGAAAGGAAAGAGAGTGTAAAAGAGAAAGAGAGAAAGAGAAAAGGAGAGAGAGAGAGAGAGAGAGAGAGAAATCCCCGATGCCGAGGGCGAACTCAACAACCTGTAGATACTAGACTACTGTTGTAGCACGCGACAAAATAACGATAGAATTCTTTTTTCTTTCTTTCTTTCTTCTTTTTTTTTTCTCGGTAAATGTCACGTCATTGGTATCCGTCGAAATCCATTTTCTATGAGAACGATTTCTTTCTTGGGATTTGTCGTCTAGTACAATGAATTCTGACAAGATACCAGAAACTTTCAATTTCAAAAACATCTCAGTAACTTCATATTGATTGTTCCGAGTTTTATAAGTATTGCCATTGTTTCTTTTTCTTTTTTTTTTAAATTGTATTTTTATACGATCACGTAATCAATAACGAAATGATATAATGTAGCTTTCTTTTATGGAAATTAAATGAATTCATGTACTTTGATTTCCTCGTCATTTATTTGAAGTCGTTCGAATTTACAAGTTTCAAATCATTTTTATTAATAAAATTTAGATCGATCACTCGATTAACGCCAAACAATCTATCTTACGTATCTCTCATGAAAATGAATTAATTTATATATTGATCTCTCTGTCATTTTGATTAATTGTTCGAGTTTATAAGTATCACCATTTTTATTGTTGATTTTAGAACGATCACATGATCTATGCCAATCTCTCTTATATATATCTTACGGGAATCAACGAATTATATTTTACTTTTTGTCACTTTTATACCCTTCAATGTTTTTTAATGAAACGAATTATATCTCATAATCGTCGAAACAAAATATAAAAACCAGGAAAAGAATACAATTAAACGAATTATATTAAAGATTAAGGATCCTACCATACTTGGCTTATCATACCGTTCCATATAGAGTCATCGTTACTACCTAATATTGATTTTCGGTACAATCAAAGCCGATTCACAAACAATCGTAGCGAGAGCTTGAACTAGGGAATATAATGCCACGCCTCGAATAATATCAAACGAATAATATGAAAGAAAACATGATCAGAAATACTATATTGAAATTTTCAATAATACATTGGTAGGGCAAGTACTTTGTTATTTACCAATAGTACGAACAAACAAAGAGAAACATTCGTTGATATAAAATTAATAATAATAATAATTTCCATTGACCGTACACATTCCTTGTGCAATGGTTAACAGATTTTCTGTATGGAAAAAAAGAAAAGGGAAAAATAAATTAAAAAAAAGAAATGATAAATAAAAACTGATGAATAAAAAAATAAGAAATTAAAGAAAAAAAAGAAATAAGTACGTACGTATCTTTTGATTTCTTTGTCCTTTTTTAGAACAGCATGAAAATGCATAAGTGGATAGCCTTGGCCTGTTCCAACACTCGTGTGTCGGGCACCGTACCTACTGGTTACCCTGGAAACGGTATCGATTTCAACCCTCAGCTATGCAGTAGAAGCACAGCACCAACACCATGGGGTCTTTTCATCTTCAGTTTCGACGAGGTGCGGAGGCCTTTTCGTCAACCCGATTACAAGAAACCCCGTTCTTTCTTTTCTTGTCTCTCTCTTTCTCTCTCCCTCTCTCGCTTTCTTTCTTTTCAATGTATGTAATTTGGAAAGATACAGAGAACTGCAAAAGGGCTTATTATTTGCAAACGATTCGTAAATATCGTGACATAAAGACGGTTCTTAGTATAATAATATTGAACGATGTATTTCTCAACAATCTTAACTTTTCAGTTTCAATGAATTTTAATGAGGGATTTTAAAATCGGGTATGAATACGTCTTTCCTTTTTTGTTTTGTTTTTCTTTCCTTTTTTTTTGATTGTTTAATATAAATTTATACAAACGAATTTAGGTTTTAATGTCAAACGAAATAACAAAATGTTGAAAAGAATACATGGTCAAAGGGTGGTACCACCACGATTACACAGGGATAAAACACAAGGGCCCATGGGAAATTACAGACAATCCTTTCAGGTACATTAAACAAAAACAGGAGGAAAAGCAAACGCGCTTGGATTTCACCAAATATGCAGTTTTTGTCTGGAAAAAATTAGGAAACGCGAATTAAACGTTTCTGTTTCATGTGTTATAATATAACGTTTTTATAAAACCTATTTCTTTTTTTTTCTTTTTATCTTATTCTAATTGGTTTAATTTCATGCACGTCGAGAAATATGAATATTTATTTATAACAATACATAGTTAAATTATTATAATTATTCAGAATAAGTTTAACAGATTATTGTATTGCTTTTTCAGAAAAATTTGAGCATTTAAATAATAATCTCATTATTATTATTATTGTTATTATTATGTTAACTTATACAGATATATATATGTATATATATATTTATTAAAATATATAAAAAAAATATTATACTAATTGCAAATCTATGATTTTCATGAATATACGCAAATATTTATTTATTAAATTGCAGGTATCTATTATCAATTGAAAAAGTTTACAAGTATCTTGAAAACTGTACATCGCATAGGAACATATATATATGTATGTATATATATACATATATATACACACACACACACACATATATATACATATATATACATATATATAAAACAATCTTATCTCATGTTCAAAGAGAAAAGAGTTGATGAAATTTGACAAATTTCTCGTTATTTTCTCACTGTTCTCCTTTCTTCTTATTAATTTCAAAGACTCCACAAACCTTGTTAGCCGGGACAGCTTTGTCTGAAACAGTATTTGTGTTAGCAACTTAGATTTATATATAAAAACGTTTATAAATAAAACCAATACAAATATTTTATGGAATAAATTAAATATCTTTAAGTATTATAAATCTTACCAATCATTTTTGGATATGGAAGATTAAGATTATTCATAATATTTACAAATTCATCCAACGATTTAGATAATCTAGGATTTAACATTTTTTCTTCAGCAACAGTAGTTACAGTTCTACCATTATAATCATGTGCAGGATATAGTCTGTAATATGATGGTAAAGTAAATATATTTTCATGTACAGACTTGTACAATATTTCTGACGAGCCACCCTAACAAATAAAAATATCTAGATATTAAACAAATGTAAAAACCTAGATATTATAAAAATGTGCTAAAGAAAAGTCTTTTTTTTGTTTCTTCTTCTTCTTCTTCATTTTTTTCTTTTTTTTAATTTTTAATACAAACCTGAAAGTCTGTCCTTCCACATCCGCGTATTAATAAGGCATCACCCGTGAAAGCGATTCCTTGTTCATCACACACATACGTCACGCATCCTATATAAAAATTTTAATATAAAAATTTAATATGAAAGTAATTTAATTTATTTCATGTGATCGTTGAACTTTTCATATATATCTATATATATATATATAATTATATATTATACTATATATTATATATTATATATATATAATCTATATTCATATATATATATATATGAGAAGTTGATACATACATATTATATATGTATATATGTATGTATGTATGTATGTATAGCTTTTACATTCGATTATGTATTAATTAATTGATATTACTACATTTACATAGTTATATACATACTAGTATTACTTAAGTCTTTTATATTATAATTAATTATAATGTATTATGTATAGGATTTTCATTGTATAAGATCTTTTCAAATATTACTTTTTAAAAACTTATCCAATTGAAGGGATTGTAATATATATTATACACACATATATATAAGTGTAATATATATGTATATACATGTAACTATTGAATACAATCAATCAACCATGTAAATTAATGAGAATGATGAATAAAATATTCTTCAGAATGGTTATGCGTTATCCACCTTCAGTATGACCAGGTGTGGGTATCACCACCAGATAATGTCTACCAAATTTGATGCGGTCTCGTGGCTCCAAGAGAATGTCGGCCTCGGCACCACTATTGCGGGAGATCATCGATCGACAACCCGGTAATAACGATTTTAATCGGCCCGTTCCTGTAATATGGTCTGCGTGCATATGTGTATTCGCTGTAAAGGAAATAATCGTTAATTAGAGAGAAGTATTTAATGATTTTTTTTTTTAAATAAATTCGAAATAGAAAAAATGAATCTTTCTTAATTTATCAAAAAAAAAATATATAAAAAAAAAATAAAAAAAATTTGTTTAAATTAAAAAAAAAAATAAAAAAAAATAAAAATAAATAAAAATAAAAAAAAGAAAAAAAGAAAAGATTGCAACTTACCAACATATTTCAAATTCAAACCGAGTTCTTCGATAATTTTTTTATCTCGATCAGCCCATTCAAAGACTGGATCGATTAAAATAGCATCTTTATTATTGATATCAGCAAGTAAATATGTATATGTACTGGACACTGGATCGAATAACTAAAATGTTTTTTAATATAAATATAAATCAATTACAAATGTATTTATATATCAATTAAAATAAATAATGTAATTTATTATCCGTGAAATGGTATATTATATTAATGTGGAACTTTTATCATAATAATCATATAAATCATATAAATTATTATATAAAAAATAAAATATAAAATATGAAATATATATTATAAATAAAAATAAAATGAAATTTATAATGTAATGAAATGTGTGTATGTGAAATGATTTTGAGATATATATAAACAACGTATAAATAAAATTTATCAAATTTTACCTACCCACAAATAAAGTTTTAATCCATCTAATCTAAACACTTAACAAAGATTATTTTTTAAGCCAGGAAATATTGTTTCGAATAAGGAAAGAGAGATCTTAATCTCGGATAATGAAATATGCTCGATTTCGATTTTACAAAGCAATTATTTAAATAAAAAAAAATATTTATAAATATAACGTGCTTGATTGTGAATGTTACAAATTTGTTTATAATAATAATCTTTAGTTTAATTGCAAATAAAAATAAAATACAATAAAAATTTTATTAAGTACCATTTATTGAAAATAAAATAAATATATATACTGATTTTTTATTAATATATTATATCTGATATTGTCAAATTAATTGATTAATGCAATATTTAATGAAATTAAATCATGTATACTGCCGTATTTAAAAATGAAAATAATGTCATTTTTTTAAATTAATTATATGTATTTATTTATTTCTCTGATAACGTACATAAAGAGGTCAACATAAGGTAGATTAGATACTGACGCTGTTTAGAATATATGACTAAATAAATTATTTTTAATATAAATGTATTCATAACTGTAATATGTTATTTACAATGATGATAAATACTCGATACAATGTAACATGATGAAATACATTCAATGAATGAGTTACAGTATTATCTATTATGACAAGTAGTATCAACATTTAATAGTATCAACAGGTAGTAAAAAGATTTAATTAAAGCTATTACAAAGATATGCAATATTTCACATACCTGCTGAAATAGAAAATCCTTTGAGAAAGAAATATGCTCTGTCAAAGTTCCATGTTGATGATAATTTCCAATTAATTTATGTCTTGTTTGAAAAAATTTTCCTGTCAATCTTAATAATTGTTGATTCAATCTACTTAACAATACATTCATTTCTTTGGCAAAATATGTCACTACTGGTACCAATTAAAAGCTAAACAGTACTAATAATTGCTGTGCATACGTGCACATATATATATGTGTATATATATATATATATATATATATACAAGATAATAAAGATAATTTTATTTTTAAAAACGCAGTTAATATAATACTTCAAAGTAAAAATTTAACGATAGTATCATCTTAGCTATATTATTGATAAGTTTTATAACATAACCTTCAAAATAATCTTAAATCACTTATTTAAATATAATCATATCGATCATTGCCATATAAAATGTAAATAAATATTACAAAATTACATATATTTAATAAACAACTACCTTATTTAGAAAATCATAATGTAATATATAAAAGAATTTAGAATCATATAATTATCTTTGAACAATATTATAAGCCTTTCCTTCACTAAACGCGTGTCAACCAATCATATAACGGAATGTCTAGTACTGATTATGAATTGACAAAAAAAAAAAAGAAATAGAATAAAATTAATTTACATTATCATAATAATAAATTATATAAAATAATCGTAGAATTTTCATTTTGGTTATAATTAAGATTTCTTATTAATATCCTGAAATATTAAAAAAAAATTACTAATGTTACTACGTAGTGTTTACTACGTAGCTCATCTATAGAAAATAGTTTCATGGTCATTTCCTTTCAATAGATTGAAATTCTATCTGCCACTACTCCATCTTGGATCTTGTCTTTCCGTTTTGTATTCTTGCAAAGGTGTGTGGTATTGGCATTTTTCGTTGAATTTTGAAAGATTTGAGTGAATAATTAAATATATTTTGTGTAGAATTCGTTAAAAATTATTTAATAAATACTATGTTATACTAGTGTTACGCATATCGTTAAATTAATATCATAGAAAATTATATATGTATAATCGTATAGTCCACCCATGTGGTGATATTGATGTTCAATACACAATGTGCGGATTTTAATTTGTTTTGTATATTTATTTCAGATGCCATCTGTTACGTTAAAGGACGTTGATCAGCACAAATTTGTGAAAGCTTTTGCAGCTTTCCTTAAAAAGTAAGCTATATTATTTTATAATTTTAATTGTTAGGTTATAATTTATAGTGACAAATAAACTGTTGTTTTTTTTATATGTATAATTAATATAAATATTACATAAATTTTAGGACAGGCAAAATGCGTGTCCCAGAATGGGTAGATATTGTAAAATCAGCTCGTTTCAAGGAATTAGCTCCTTATGATCCAGATTGGTATTACATACGTTGTGCAGCATTAGTCCGTCATATTTATATTCGTAGTCCCATTGGTGTTGGAGCAGTTACTAAAATTTTTGGTGGTCGTAAACGAAATGGAACTCATCCTAGCCATTTTTGTCGATCAGCTGGTGGTGTTGCTCGTAAAGCGCTTCAAACTTTAGAACAATTAAAGCTTATCGAAAAAGCTCCACTTGGTGGACGCAAGCTTACGAGTCAAGGGCGCAGAGATTTGGATCGTATTGCCGCACAAGTTAAGGCAAAGAGCAAAAAACAATTAAAACTTCAAGAAACTCTTGTTCTTTAATCATTTCTAATAAAATTTAAAATTACTTTATTGTTGTAATCATTTCGCTATAATTTTTTCCAATAATTCCCTATTGTCTATATTCTGTTAAATTAATTTTATTACATTATTTAAGATGCTAATTTGAATGAGAAAAGAATTTATTCCTATATTTATGTTGTACAAATATAAAATTATATAAATCGATAATAAATAATAAATTATAATCTTAGATAACATAATATATAAAAACCATGAAGATATTTTTATTGTTCGATATTATTTTGATAGAATCGAAATTTCTCGTAAGATCGATATATCTCGAAGAGGTCGAACGGAAAGGTACTGCAAAACAGGAATAAAGACAATAGAGTGACAGTATAAATTTTTTAAATTATACTATTGGTAATCCTGTTTTATTTTTTTCTTCATATAAATTCATTTCTCTTAAGAGAATGATGTTCAAACGTCGAATAATATACTGACTGTGATAGGTGAAACTCCTCATGTCATCATCGTAAGTAATTTTATGATAGATCATAACACTAGATACATGACGTAATTACATTTGTTTTGACGTTATCCGAATACATCCACAGCTGGCTGCGTAGAAGAAAAATTAAAAATGCCAATCTTTGATTTCTTTCGAAATTTCTTTATTGGAGGAGATAGAGAAGATTTCAGAGACGAAGGGTAAGTTATTATAATAATGACAAGTGAAAAATAAAAGTAATGATATATATGAAGTACATAAGTCGGTGTATAACATATTTAAAAATCTAGAAAGATCGTTTATTAATTAGTATTTTTTTATATTTATCATTTATTAATTAATTTATTAGTAGTATAATATCGTTCATTATATTTAATAAAAAATTCTTTTACGTTGGATTATCCATAATCAAGGAAACACAGTTTTCGTAATCCTATTTGGCAAAATGATGAAGATGACAATGATGACGATGACTTCAGGTATATTTCTTGAGAAATTATTGTTCATTATTAATATATAATTATGTGATTTTATTAATTATTATAGACATCTTGGTAGAAGTAACGTACACGTTCATATCTTCAATGATCCCAAGGATATGACATCTTATTTTGAATCGCAATTCGATAATATATTGAACAGTATTTTCTCAAGTTTTGATGATAGTAAAATATTTCCGAATTTTAATGATAGTAAAATTTTCGATATACCAGGTATGTATAGATTATTTCTTTCAGAATGATTTTTTTTTTCTTTAATTAATATTAAAAATTATTTCTTAATTTCACTGATCATTTGAGATATTGTTTGTATATTTTAAGGTAGCATAGAAGAGTCACCGAATGCAGGACAAAGTAATAATAGTTTGCGTGATAAAATGTTAAAACCTGGATATGAATTTCCAGATTCTCCTGATAATGAAAAAAACAAAGTAGATGCAGATTTAGATGGAAGGTATGAAATTTTATAAATATTTTGTATTTTAAATTATTATTTTAATTGTAATTTTGTTACTTCGTTCATTATAGAATTTCTGCTGATAACCTTTTTAAATTTTGGAATGAACCTAATAATACAAAAATAATACCCTCTACAAACCACCAATTTCATCGAAGTTCCAAATTTGTTAGCAAAAGATTTATACATGCACCAGATGGTACTATAGAGCAACATCAGATAATAAAAGATAGTGAAGGTAACGAAGAAAAGAGAGTTTCTAAACAGATTGGTGATAAAAAATATGTTGTTACCACAAAGAGAGATAAAAATGGTGTAGAAACCAAAGTAGAAGATTTGATTAATATAGATGAAAGTAAGTTGTTGCAATATGTATTTTTAATAACATTTGTAAACATTAATGTGTTTATATTTACAATGCTTTTTGTGATATAATAATGTGCTTATAACGTGAATTTTCATTAACTTTTAGATGAATTGAAAAACTTTAAACCAAATATAGAACAAACTTGGGGATCCATATATAATCACTATAGTAATTCTAGTAGTATTTTAAATTATTTACCATGGGATCAGTTTTTTGGTCCAAATCCAAAATTATAATATCATTAGTAAGATGTCTGTTCTAACAAGGGATATCGCTTTCATATACTGTCCTTTATAATGTGCTACATCTACTAAAAACTGTATATGGTTGTAGTTAATAATACATTATAAAATAAATATAAAACCAATCAATTTAAGTATTAATTAAATCTTTCTTTGTCACGACTATCCAATTTACATTATGAATGAACATTATTGTACAGTTTAAGTTTCTTACATTTAGTATACTTGATTACATTATATAGTGGTGTTAAACACAAATAAATGATCTAATGAAGGAATTTATTTTGTTACTTCGTTTAAATCAGTTCAATTATTAATCGAAGTGTAATCTTGGTATTCTGATTTCTGAACAAGCATAAACTGTTGATATTGCAATATGTAAAATACACGTTGCAACGTCGGATGATATCCTTTACATAGTGTTCATATACACGTGTATATATGTTTATATATATATGTATATATGTATATATGTATATATGTGTACATGTATATATATATGTATATATATATATGTATATATATATATGCATATATATATGTATATATATATGTATATATATATATACATATATATATATATGTATATATGATATTGTGTACGCATTTTAAAGCAAATATATACAATCTATTTTTTTAATATATATCCCAAGATATTAATAATTAGTATCTACAATTAGTTTGTTTCTTTATAAAATGTTAATGGTAACATGTGTATATATATGCGCATGTGTGTCTGTATAGTTTACACAATATATACTATTGTTACAGCGTGCAATGTTTGTATTTGCATATAAACATGGCAGCATTTTTATGATTAACCCCTTGCCTTATGTTTTAATTTATGATCTTAATAAAATTCAAATTAATCTTTTTATATATTTGGCCTTCTTTTGTGAAGCCTTAATTTTTTGAAGCTAATAATATCATAATACAAAATGACATTATTTTATAAATAATATATCTGATTACCATTAATAAATACATGGTTTTTATATGAACTTTACAATTTAATCAAACAAACAAGAAATTAATAGAAGAAGTAAGCTTTTTAGGAGTTTATAGAAAATTTCGTCTATTATTTGCTCTTTTAATTGATATTACTTTGGGCTTACAAATAAATAATGCATTAAGAAAATTTTATTTATGTTTGTGAAAAACAGCTCAATTTAAATGATTAATCTTCAAAACAAAATAGCATAATGGAATAGTTCTAAATTGTGTGGTATCTTTTGAAATAACTTGGTATATACAAAGCAACTTTACATGTTTTTCATTTAAGAAAATTTTACAAGCTCTTCATGGTCTTTATTTTGATTTTATTGGATCTATATACTAGAAAAAAATAAATCCAATGCTGCACCTGTGGTCAAAGTAATCCGATTTGTGTTTTTTTGATGTTTGGTCCGTAAACATTATTACAAGTCTCGTACGATATTATAAGGCAAGGGATTAAGTAACCTAAACAAACTAAACATCATAAGGATAGTTATTTCCGTTACAGTATATTGCATGGCTACATATAGCTCCAATATGTACAATTAATTTATGTATTTAATCCTATCATATTTATGTAATCATAATGAAACATAGAAGATGTCAATGAAATTTGACAATATGGAACAAATCGCTATTATCTTAGTTTTTTAACGTTACATTATAAATTATGATAAGACATTGAATTAAAAGATTTAGAATAAACATTTAAAACTTGCACTGTGAATACTTAAAAGTATTAATGACAAAAATAATCAGAGAAAATATATATTTGGTTACGTTTCATTGACATTTTCTTTTAATATTTTGTAAATGCACAAAATTAAAAAGTACACTTTGGAAAGAAATATTTCCAATTCAGATAGAAATATAATAACTTGTGGAATATACAATTTTCAATGTAGATTACAAAAATAATTGTTTTTGATAATCTACAATGTTGTGCATATGCCTGAATCAATATAAATATTAACAGAAATAGTCAGTAACTTTTAATTTTTACAATATTAGTGATACTTCTCCACATATACCTGTATATAATATACATCAAGATATAATACGAAATCAGATTTTATATTCCATGTTTTTTTTATAATAATTTCGATAAATTCTGAATGTATTACATCATTAAAAAGCAGCAAACTTTCAGTATTTATTGATGTGAAACATAAATCGTAGTGCCAAGGACTATTGCCATCCATTCATGCCTATTATGGATTAAATTATGATACAGAATCTGCACTCTAACAGACATCATATTAGAAAATAAAATTAGATATTATTATCAAATATTTAAACAAATAATGATATTTACCGAACGATCTTTTATATCTGTAATAATTATTCTTGACCAAAACCTTCAGTTTCTTCAATTGCATAATTTAATTTCTCTACTAATTGATCATAACTCTTATATGGTGGTAAGTCGAGTCTATTAAAACATGTGTGAGATCTTGGCAACCATGTATCTTTTCCAACTTTTTCAATACAAAATCGTTGGGGCCCGTTACTTCCTGCAAATATTTAAAAATATATTTATGATAAATATAAATATATTCTTATGAGTATTCAAACATATTAATTATACCCATTAATTCAGCAAATCCTCCAACAGGAACTCTGCAAGTACCAGTTACAAATTGTAAAAGGCGAGCCCTTTTCTCACTGTCTGTTCTTGTAACGAACTACGAATAATTAATATACATTATATACTTGTAATTAAATTTTAATTATAAAAGCAAAAACATATGAATGTACCTGCCAGAACCATAGAACCTGTTTACTATTACGCGTATAATGTCTATAAATAGTATTACGTTGCCAATCTTCTACATCAATTTCTTGCATACCGCAAAGCATTAACTCCAATTCACGTTCGTCAAAATATTTTAACCATTCTAATGGTACAACTGAATTAAATCCATCTAAAAAGGCCTTTGTTTGTTCTTCTATACCTCTGGTCATTCTCCATTCAGTCATTAATCTAATAATGATAAGAATATTAGATATATTTTTTTCAGAAGTTTCTAATCTAATTTTTATTTCCTTACCTAATATATTCTTCTTTATTGTCTTCAACAACTCTAATCTTATCACCGTTTTCTTTTAGTTCGTGGTGAATGACCTGTCCAAGAATTTCAAAGTCAACACTATAATACAATTCTAGAGCACATTCATCTATATTATTCTCTTTTATCCATATAAGAGACTTGTAGAATTCTGGATCAATAGATTCTATATCTTTCATAACTAGTTTTTTGTTTAACATTCTTTTAAAAAATGGCATAGTAAAACCACTATAGATAAATCGTCCATGGTAAAGAGCCTAAAAATAAGATATTGAATAAATTTATAATATAATAATAATAATAATAATAATAATAATAATAATAATAATAATAATAATAATAATAATAATAATAATAATAATAATAATAATAATAATAATAATAATAATAATAATAATAAATGTACTACACACAAACCATATATATGTTTAGATATATACAAACCATTGCAATAAATCTGCCAATAAATTTAAAATATTGTAAATGATCAGGATTGACGTAAGATGCAGGATTTATTTGCAGGCTATAATTGCTTTTATTAGCATATTCAAATAAACAATACATAGGATTTAGAACTTCGTGACTCAATAAGAAGAACCACTCTCTAAAAAGATAAAAGAAAAGATATATTATAGAAATTTTAAATGTTAATATATATCAATATATTTATTAACATTTTACCTAGATACGCCTCCATAATCCAACCCTTCTTCTCCTTTAAATATAATATATAATCTTCGTCTAAGCGCAAATGCTTCTGCATTCATTATTTGGTGATAAGAATCCTCAAATAATGTTTGTCGACTTACACTAATCTTTATATGATTGGGTAATGCATTGGTTTGACATAAGAAACGAAATTGGGATAATTTCCAACGAAATGATCTTTCATATGCCCTTGGTACTCGGTAAACTCCTTTTGGTCTTGATATAAGAATAATAATAATAAAATAGATAAAATAATAAACTTATTCTATATACTTGAGATAAATTTTAATAAAAATTAATAATAATTACCCTTTTGGTGCACCTGGCCTTGGATCTTGGAATGTTGTTGTTCTTGTGTTGTGGTCCACGAAATATCGAACACCATCTTCTGTCAATCGAATTTCCCAACCATCTGGTAATGGTGGTTCATCTATTCCTGTTTCTTGTCCTTGCGTACGAGGATCTTCCCATTGAGTTGTTCGATTTTTATGATTTACATAATATACTCGACCTTCTGGTTGCTTACGTCTTTCCCAACCAGCTGGTAATGGTCCAAGGATATCATCATCATCAGGTATAGCAGAAGCTAAAGGTCCTGCTACAGCGGCTGCTGCCCCAAGAGGCTAAATATGTTAAATATAAAAAAATTAATTAAATTAGACAATTATTATTGATATAATGAATTGATTAATGAAATAATAACTTACTTGAGGATAAAGAAATCGTTGATTGCCTTGTTGAACGACATATTGCCTTTCACCTTGCCACTGTTGGAAATGTTGCAATCTTTCTGTATTTGGTCTCTGCCATGTTGTACTTCTTGTATTATGATCCACATAATAAATTCTACCCCTAGGATCTCTGCGTACTTCCCAACCTGGTGGTAACGGCTGTGGTCTTTCCCATGATGTACTTCTTGTATTATGATCAACATAATACCTATAATAAATATAACAAATTAAAAAAGTTGATCCTAATGTCAACAATAATGTGTTTAATAATTATATTTAAAAAATATACCTTCGACTATAACCATCGCATCTCATTTCCCATCCAGGTGGAAGAGGTTCCTCCGAATGACATGTATTTTCAACTTCTGGAAGCATTACTGAAGATCCAGGTTGTATAATAGGTTGTCCAGCTACAGACATTGTAGGTTGCCCTGTCAATGAAACTGTTGGTTGAGCCATTCTAGTAAGCGAACGAGATTCTGGTAAATTATTTGTTGTAAATTCTTCAGAATGTGGTATAGTGCGACTATCTGGTACAGTATTTAACATAGATTGCTCTGAACGAGGAATACAATGTGGAAGAAGAATACTATTATTTTGTTCAGATCGAGTAGCTCCACGAGCC